CCGCTGATACATACATTAAGTTTCCCCTCGACTACCTTTCCAACTTGTCGCCTCGTAAGTTATAACAGTGGCTGCACCCGTCCCCATTATCCTTGGACAGACATTTTTCCGATTTTTCACGGACCGATGGAAAAACAAAAAAAAAAACTCACTTTTTTTCGAGTATTTTGCCAAAATGTTCCCTCTCTCTCTCTCCCTCTCCCGTCCGCTGCCGAACACCCGTGTAAACACCTGCGGCGCGTAATTTTCGCGTACACGTTCGCAGAACATTATAAATACGCGTACGCGCTGTATTCATAATGTAGACGGCGGCGGCGACGGCGATTTATAATATTATTATTGTGCCGGAACGGCTCCGCGAAATTAGAGTGCAGGTGTCGCGTTCCGCTTTGGTCCGGGGAGGTGATTTAGATAGTCCGTCGTAATGAAATTTAAACCCGCCGACGATTAATGGCCGCGGGTGCCGGCCGCAAGTGCGCGCGCGAATTTTCGGCCCGCCGACGGTCGGGTTCGGGGCGGGCGCGCGCATTGCGGGCTCGTTACGATTAATAATTCACGCGACCGGCGGCGCGGCGGTCGGTATCGAAATCCCCGCGGCCGTCGCCGTGTCCCCGTCCGGCCGGAACCCGCAGCGCCGAATATTTACGGGCCGTCCGTGCGTTACGTATTATTATTATTATCATCGCGCGCGATGCGTCACGCGCGGTGTAACGCACAAAGGCGGCGACCGTACAACGGCGCGTTCGGGTTTTACTCGCGCGGACGCGAATCCGACGCGCGCGCGAACGGGGAATTCCCGTTCGCGTCACGCGTGACGGTTCGGCGTCTCCCCGACAACAATATAGTACGACGCGACGAAAAATGGCGTTTGAACGTATTTCCAATCGTTCGCGTAATCCGCGCGTGTATAAATCTACTTTCGCGAACTATATCGCGTGTACGAACTGATGCACGCACGCGCCGCTATACGCATACGGTATCACGGGAGGGTGCAATGAAAGGGAGAACAGCGCAGAGCTAGACGGGCCTCATTCCAAAATCCAATTGCATTCGGACGAGCGCGATAGTACAGTAGCTTACGATAGTGTCGCGGATACATTTGTGTAGGTTGTGTACCGCGACACCGTTCCGGATATTGTCGTGTGTCTTGTATTGCGATACTCATTACATAAGTACACGTAGTATATGTATTGTTATAATATCTGGATACTGAAAATCAACGTGCGTAAGTACTAATTTTAAAGTATTTCGCCCGACCCTGAGCAAGAGCAGTAAGTATGATCAAATACAATCGGCAACGGAATAGAATCCATAAGCATTCGGGAAAAGACCTCTGTAGGAAGGCCCAGAGAAGATGGGCGGGATTACAGCTAGATATGGACGTTTGGACTTGAAAGAAAAAACAACGGACGTGTATAGAAAATTATGATGTGGATGATTGGGCGTAAGCGTTGAATGAATACAAAATATTACACTTTTTTCGACTAATTTTAATTATAATCATAATGATATCGAGCTCGTGGATTATGTCGATTTTCCGATGTCGCTTTGTGGGTAGGTTTATTCGTAGGTAATAATTATTTGCAGAAAAAAAAAATAATAGTAAAACATTTTTCACTCGTACGGTAAATCGCTCGTGTTCCGATATCGTTTTTGCAATGTGTTAGGTGTACAGGGTGTAGGTGATACGTAAACAATACGCGTCCGATAGAAGTCGCGAGAACCTCGCGGCGAAACAAAAAGTGTAAGTACCTAGGGTTATATCTCTACAGAAACCAATAGAACCGGCAGACGAGTGTTGTAGCACTCGTTGTCGTTGTATAATACACATAAAAAAAAAAACACGCACAATCATATGAACTGCGCCTATTGTTGCGTTTATTATAATGTTTTATTCTAATGCATACATAGGACATCGTGGTATTGTTTCGCGCGCGTATATACGAGTATTATTATATTATGGCCAGACGTCATGTCCCCGACCATGTTTTCGCACGCGGTTTGCGGTTTATAACGCAATATTATGACGGTATAACGTGAAACGTACAAATGCATTTATTATAAAAATACAAAACGACATTATAGTAACAACATTTCATCAAAAACAATAATAATAATAATAATAATAATAATTTAAACTTATAATCTTATGCGTATACAAATCACGCGTACTACGAGTTTGCGTGCGATACACTTTGAAACCACTTAACCGATTTTGATAAGATAATGCTCAATTTGCGTGATTTGAATCCAATTTAAAAGATAGAACAGTTTTTATCACGATTAACGATCTTAATATTTTAGATTCTGAACGGAGCGAGGAATGTGTTGGTCTTACAATGATATTTATTTTTTTTTATGTGAACACATTTTCTAACAGGAAGCAATACATGTTGCTGTGAATGTTCCCAGACTAACGTCTTTCGAATTTTTGCAAACAGTCTATGGTCGAATATTCAATTCATATCAAGATACATAAGTTACGTGTCGTAAGTTGCGATTGCTGGAAAACGACAATCATTGGCGCCTAACACTTGCTGATGTTGCGTTGATAAGCACGCCGAATAGTCTCCCTCAACTGTTTGCAGTTATTTTAGCGGTATGTTACCCAACACATATCATCTGCTTTGTGGGACAAACATAAAAACTACATGACTGAAGACATACTGCATCGCGTTAAACAAACATAACAATATCGAAACATAGATTTAAATATGGGATTATGTATTTTAATTTCAAATTTGCCGCTGACTTGTTTCCAGTCGGAAATTTATGACTTACGCCGACACTCATAAAAGGTGCAGTATTGCGCCTGTACTAACTACCCGACAGATGGCTTGATTTTACAATTATAGTACTGGCCACAATTTTATCCAGGAATACGTATCCCCCTATCACCCTCTCTGCCTACCCCCTAGAACTGGTGTACTATTCAGAGTAGGTTAAAATTCCTGTTCCCAAAAATTCTGTAATTTCAAGATGTAACTGTATAGGTAGGTACCTATATTAAAATATTTTGAAATTGACTTTATTACTTATATAGCTATAAAATCAACTTCTCAACAATTAGGTAAGTAATCTAGTGGATAGGGCATTAGGTTAGATTAGGCAGTGTCTCGGGTTCTATACCCGACTGTGGCATAACAAGACTTCAATTTTTTGCATTTTTTTTTTAATACATTTTCTTGCCAGTAGCGCATCAATATTAATTTCAGTATTTAGTCAGTATTGACTGTAGATACTTGGCTAGTTCTGAAATGCCAGTGCTGTTAAAGCGTTATCATCCCAGATTTATGGTAGTACTGGTTAGGTTCCAACACGCAGTGTTGCACCCGTTGTGAATTTCTGATTGGGTTATAATATCCCATCACCTGATCGTTCGGCCACCGAATTCAGTGATTTAGAACGAGAAAAACAGTATAACGACGTTGACTTAGCTACAGTTATTGCAAATAATGAACTATTACTGACACCTAAACGAAAAAATATTTGTAATTAAATTATGCTGAATTTTGATGCTGAACCAGGTAGAACCGGTAAGACATTTTTAATATCGTTGATCCTTGCAAAGATACGGTCGCAAAAGAAAATTGCATCGTCAAGCAAGACGCCACTTTGTTAGATGGTAGGCGAACGGCACATTCAGCACTCAACCTACCATTAGACATTCAAAACAACCCAAATACAATGTGTAACATTAAAAAAAGAAGCGGAATGGCTACAGTGTTGTAAAGGAGTTCAATTATAATCTGGGTTGAGTGTACTATGGCTCAAAAACGTTTACACTGAAAACAGTTGTTTCCGGGTGGTCTTTGGAATCACTCGATACTATTAACGATGAAAACGAAACCGTACATTTTTCAACTGAATTTGAATTCAGTTAAACATAGGTCCACCAATTATTTTTTTGCGTAATTTAAATTCATCTAGATTATATAACAGTACACGTTTAGTCATCAAAAACATCATCTAAAATGTTCTTGAAGCAACCATTTTGACTGTAAAGTTTAAAGGAGAAATCTTCCTGTTGCCATATATTCTATTGATGCCACCAGAATCTCTAATACAGCTTAAAACGCTTCAATTTCCTATTCGTTTGGCTTTCGTGATGATTACAAATAAATCTCAAGGCCAAACAATGTCTATTTGCGGCTTGGAATTGAAAAATCCATGTTTCTTTCATGGGAGGCAATTATATGTTGCATGTTCGAGTATAGGGAAGTTATTATTTTATACTAATGTTTATCTGTAGTATGCCTATTGAGATGTTATTGGTAGCAGTTAACTCTGATAGACATTAGTTCGATTACTTAGATTGTTCGTTAATTTTAATCAACCATTTATTAACATGTTTATGTTTCAAAATTCAACCCTTCCCACCATTTTAACGGATTTCTGCCCAAAATAATGAGTTATTATTTGTATACAATTTACATATTATTATCAACAAAAATTGTTATACATACAAGTTTTTTTTATTTTATTATTAAAATATTAAAATACGGTTCTTTTTTGTTGCTATCCTTCTTTTCTGAAAGGATATCAGACTGCGGAAATACTTTAGGGCGGTTATTTTTTCGGGAAGAACATAGAAAAACCGAGAAAAACGCAGGAAAAACGGTACAATATTATACAAATATTATTATAGAAAATATATAATGCCTAATTAATTATTTTACCATAATATGACATATATTTATATTGTTGACAACGCATCATTATCAACTGAACTCTTCTCAGAATCATTTTTTCGTTAGCAATGGTTTATCGTTGCTTACAGATATACATTAAATTCCCTTATGTATCCTACCTTCCCAACTTTCCACCTATAACAATTGCTGTATCCACGTGCGAAGTATGTTCGTCTTATTAATATGATTGTACAGAATTTACATGAATATTTTACGTATAATTATATTTATTTATGGATATAAACAAAAAATGTATGTAAAAATAAAAACTGAATGCAATTTTTAATATTAAACAATACTAGTTTATTACGGCTTGTGCGAAATAGATATGGGATTTGGCGATCAGACCCGAACGTTTTGCGGAACCACCGAATTTATAGCTCCAGTAATTCTTACTGACTCTTCGTATAAATGACACACATAGTGTGGAATGGTTGGCCTTAGGAGTACTTATATATGTGCTTGTCGAAGAGGTAAATATATTTTGAATACTAATGTATAACATAACACCGTAATTAATATAAATTTTATCACATAAAGTGGCCTTTTACAGAATGGAATAGAACAAAAGGATTTGACTTCGTAATAAACGATAAAATACATTATCCAAATTAAATTGTTTGTGACGATTTGTTAGAAAAAATAATCCACGCACCATTTTTACCAACTGTTGTAAGCATCTTAAATATATCTGTTTTGAAATCTGATATTAGTTCCACACAATGAATTAAAGTAATCTGAAAAAAATAAAAAAATTAGATTTCACTAGAAGAAGTTAGTAACTTTGATGATAAATGTACTTGATGAGACACCACAATTGACACTGCTTGATGATGCATATTTGTTAAACGATGAAGGACTTATCTTAATTAAAAGACTTCACATACACAAGGTGGAAAAGCACAACTCGATGGTTCATCTCCTATTCAATATATAATATATCTATTGCATGTCCACAAAAATAATAAAACAATAAAAAGTATAATTTGTCCTGAGACCCACCAATCCACACCAAGCATAAACGGAGTTTCTGTAAGAATTTCTGGAGCCATAAATTCGCTGGAATAAGAAGATTCACCGATTCATTAACAGAATAGAACATGTGTTTACCCTGAAAATAATGTATCGTAATTAAATTAAACTAATATTTCTTATTAAATTAACCCAACAAAACCAAAACAAATTTTATTAAAAATGGTTGTTAAACTTACTTTCTTAGGAATGCAGCATGTTCCAATATTACGAAGAAAACGAAAGCCTTTAGATAGGGCAAAAATGAATCCATTCATATTGGAAATTATATATTTCACTTTATGCTTGAAGAATAGAAATAAGTTTAGTAATTAGCTTTTTTTTACTATTTCTTAATTGGTGCAGTGAGAATTTTATAACTAGTTTTTGATGTTTCGAAATTGATGTTTTTTTTCCCAAAACTAGTAAGAAACATTACAAACAAACATTGAGTTGAATACCTAGCAACAGAAATATTTCACTAGAAAATCATTTTTATTAATCAACATAATAATAACAAATAACATTTAAATTTTAAATAGAAGGTAATAAAATATTGTTTTTCAAAACTATAATTTCATATTTATTATCATTGATTTTTGTTGTTTTTTTTTTTTTATCTTCTTACAAACTAATCTTTTATATACGTTTCTTCAGTTTTTTCTTCTTTTTTTTTTTAATTTTTCACTTTTACAAATTTTAGATTTTGAGCGAAGCGAGGAATATATATATTGATTTTACAGTAATGTTTATGTTCTTAATTTTTTTTTTTTATACTGTATACACAATTTTTACCAGAAATATTGCTCTGATGTATCAAGTATAACACTTTTTCTGAAAGGAAATATAGGGAAAAAAATAAGGAAATAACGTAGGAAAACCGTGAAATGTTCGATAATATTGTTTTTATTATTTTCAATTTTGTTTTTTTTAATGTAATTAATATCAAAATCCTCGTAGGTATTTGAAATTTAGACAGAAATCTTATATTTGGTTTTTTTAGACGTGATAACATTTTCAAAACATTTGAGTCTAATTTTACGAGTTTTTTACGTAAATTGTATTCAGTAGGTATCTATATATCGTATGCGTCCGAACCATTGTGGCCCCTACCCTTTGATAAAATTAGTTTTGTTAACTACCACGACTAAACGGACATAACGTGTGTAATTTTTACATTTTAAAGTCGATGAGTCTGATTGATGGTGGCGCCGACTTTTTGCAAAAACATATTTTGGTCCTTTTTTTTTTTTTTATACTGAATTATACTGAATTTACACTATTGAAAAACACAACAAAATATCATTACCGGTTCGAATCCGTATATCTTGTAATCAATACGTATACGTATTTTATTCGCGGGCGATAAATTGCATTTTTCATACGCATATCAACCGTGATCAAAACTCGAAAACGATTTTCAAACCATATTATGTGAAAACCGGCGGATAGAAATAATTGTAATTAAAATTGAACATACGGACCCGTTAAACCTCGAGCACACAATATTGTGGGCGGGTCAAATTAATTTACCGTGTACTAAACGTTCGTGTGTGATATTATTATTAATGCGCGGTATAGGTGTTGTACGCATCAGTTTTATCCGATTTTCGACGAAAGCTATAACTGCTTACCCCCCCCCCCCCACACCACCACCACCTGCCTACTAGGTAAAAGAAAAATTAATAACAATAATAATAACGAACCGTATAGTACATAGATTATTATCTCGTTATTATTTCGCGCTTGTTATTCGCGCTGCAGCTTCAATGAGATTATATTGCAGGTAAATTAAAAACGATTTTGAATATAGATTTTAATGTTTCGACCGTACCGCCGCGCGCGAGGGGGCGCCGCTGGACGAGACAAAGGATAAAATACAATACGGTATTGGTCCGCGTGTACGTGGAAATATTTCGAATTTTTTTTTTTTTTCCTCTCTCCATTGAGTATACCGCGATATTATTAGATATTTTATCGCCGTGCTGCGCAGACGTACACCAGCGGACCGATGAACAAAACATAACAATATATATATATATGAAACCGCGACGCGTAATAAAATTTTGATTATTGTTTATGGTGGCGGTTTGCACACGCGGAAAACAAACGCTCTGACGTTTCCTTCCCGACGGTGCAAAACAAACGACAAGCGCCGCGACGACGATATAACTTATACAAGAGACAGAAAACAGAGGGGGAAAAAAAAACGGTATAGTTTCCTTTGCGAGCAACGACGATGCGACGACGATCGCTCATGAATACGAATTTCTGGAACGAACTCGCGTATACGTGGTGAAAAAAAAAATAATAATTCTCTTTCTCGATTATCCGTCTCTCTTGTAATGAATTCTCAGCGGCGGCAGGACGAGGTTAGGGTTTATATCCGCCCGCCGTTGGCTTAAAAATACGATTGTTTATTAAGTCATTCTATTTCGAAATAAATATATTTTGGTCAGATTAAAAGGAAATAAAGCACGATTTCTTTCGAATGAAAAATTGCTTTTTTTTTTTTAGATTCTGAGCGAAACCAGGAACTATATGTATTGTTTTTATAATGATGGATTTTTTTTTACCCGTAAACAACTTTTCTACCAAAAATCTTGCTCCGATTATTAAAGCGTAATACCTTTCCCGAATGGGTGGTACTTCAAGGTGATGATTTTTTGGATTTTCCAACCGATTTTTACATCAATTGGGAAAACGCGTAGGAAAAACGGTAAATTTACGAAACGCATTATTTTCAATTCTGTTTTGTGTTGCGGTTCTGTTGGTTTTCAACATTCATAGATACTTGAAATCGGAACAGAAAATTTATATTTGCCTTTTCTAGACGTGGTAAAATTTCAAAAATATTTGAGCCATTTTTGTACTATCTATAAGCATTTTAATTTTGCGAGTTTTTACTTCATTTTTATTCAGCGGGTACCTACTCTGTGGATAAAATTGTCAGACAGATAATATGAAATTTTCACGGACATGGTGAACATTATGGCCTTTCAGAACGTGCGTAACCGAACTCCTCTCAGAAGCATTTTCCGTTCACAAGGATTATCGTCGCATACAGATAAACATTAAATTTCCCCTCTATATCGTATACCTCCCTAACTTCTCGTCCGAAACAGTCGCCCGTCCATCGTCGCGAGAAGCATATTACGTCCGTCTTTTCTACCTTTTTTTTTTCTATCGGACATAAGAAAATGATATACTTTTCGCGGGCGGCCGTGAGTGAGGTTTTAAGGGGCGAACGCTATTCGAAAACGCGTTCGCCCACCACTCGCAGTATCTGTGTACGCCGTCGCCACGCCGCTGCAGATCCTGCGGCCAACGGGTCTTCTTACACGTATTATTATCTGGAGTACGCCAGTCTAATTTGGGAAACCGATACTCTAAGCCATAGCAACCGGATTGTCGAATCCAAAATAAAGTTCTTCGCTGTACAGCTCATAAATGCAATATCACCAGACAACCCCGCATTCCGGGCACGAGCGTATTGTTAAATTGTTAAACGTAAAAACCTCGAAAGACAGAAGATTCAACTATCACTCCTTATGTTCCTGGAAAAACTTTTAAGTAATGACGAATATTCCTACTTTTATGTTCAAAACAAACTATTACAATATACGTGACAAGAGCCCGTTTTTTTTTTTATCTCGCGATGTTCTAAACGATGTTTAATACGTTCTGCTATTAATTTAATAGAATCTGCCGGGAATACATTGTCCGATGATAAATTATCCGCGTGTGGCTAAGGTAATGTTTTGTTTTTTTCCCATTCTTTGTAGTGTCGTTTACTGATTTACACAACGGAAAACCTAATTAACAACGCTAATTGTGAACGTGAATTTTAATTAGCTTTAGCGCGGTTATTTGCTTACATTCTTCTCGGTTGTCACCCGATCTCGAGGTACTACCAAAGTGTTCGTTACTATACGCGATTCGTCGACGGAGTCAACGGACTCATGTCCGAAAGTGAATAAATATATTAGCTAACAAATAGAACTCGTAAACGCGTTTATTATATTGTTATCGTATTGTACCGACACGCACGCGGCGCGCTTCCCTCTCCCGCCGCACGGCGCGTATGACCGACCGGCCGATCTCGACGGACTACCTCTCCCCGCGCGCCGTCGGATTTTGTCGGGAGGCCCGACGCCGACGGTCCTCGGACCGCCGGCGGGTGCAGCTGCCGCGAGCGCGACGACAATAATATCATGGCGACGGAGGGGTAATTTTTTTTTTCTCTGCCCCATTCCGCCGCGCTCGCGTGTACACCTATGTCCCGTACGCCGTCACGCCGCGCCACAATAATAATCGGTACAACAACACGAACGTTATATTATATTAATGTCATATTATTTTACACGTATACGGTACGGTATACGCACACACACACACACACACACACGCGCGCGCGCGCGCGCACACACGCACACATATATTGTTGTTATTATACGCGAGCGCACAACACGGGCGTCGCACACCTCTTTCGGCCATAAATTAATGGCCGGGGCAAAAAAGACATGGCGGTCGACACGCAATTAATCTTGGAACGTTGCCGTGACATATACGCGCCGCACACGCGCGCGCATACGCACACGCACGCGCACCACGACGGCGACGGTCGAAAATAAATGACCGAGCGATCGCGCGCCGGGGAAATCGCGTCGGCTCCGCGACGACGACCACTCGACCACCCCGAGACGTTTTACGCACCGCCACCACCGCCGCCGTCACAGAGATAACGACGCGGCGATAATAACAGACAGTGATGATAATAATTTATGCCGCACTAATGTCTGGCGACGGACGCTTACGAACTATTGATATCGACGGTCTAGATCGGTCGTTCCCGTGAGCTGTGGTCCGCGAGACGCCGGCGGTCCGCGAGCCGACACGCGCGAAATCGAAAAAAGTGTTCAACACGTACACAGTACCGCTTATTTGAAATTCCGTAATTCGGCCCGGCTCGCTGTTATAAATTCGATCCGGCCCGAACGGACAACGGATGGGGTTGCTTGCGCGTTGCCGGACTGGAATGATGAACGGACTCCGTTTTCTTTTACCTGTCGGCCCCTTGCCGAAGTTTACGGCCTGCAAAAGCGCATGCGTAGTAAAAGCAAACCGCGGCGGTCCGCGGCCCGTCGAAAGTAAATTATCTAACGTCTAACAGTAAAACGTCAAAAAGATTGGGTACCATTGGCCGTGACGTGGGCACTGTCGAGTACTCCGTGCGTTTCCCCTCGACCGAACTCTGTTATTCGGGGTAACCGTCCAAATTCAACGGTTACAAAACTTGTCACGGGCGAATCGGTTGCAGGTAACAAGATTTGATGGTACTGTATTTAGTTTAGAACAAAACTCCACGGGGTCGGTTTTTCACCGGTTTTTTTGTATTTTGTTGTTACTTACTAAAGGACACTTTTAATATATTGTATACGGCGGTAGGCGGGTGGAAATTATCACACATTTTTTAGTGAGGATAGCCGCCATTTGTTAGCAGTAAAATAGTCGACACGGCTGATTAAGCCTACTCGAGGACACCGCTATAACATAAAACATACCTCGTAAAATTCCTCAAACGCTTTTGGAAAGTGAAAAATGGACACGATTTTATCATTGTTTTAAATATTGAAAAAATCAAACTGTTCAAAAAAACGAATAGACATTTTTACACTTCTTTATTCCTATGGTATTCAAAAATTCATTACTGTCACCGATATTCTTAGACGCCTAAATGCTATACAAAATACAAAATATAAATGTTACAAAGCCGATTTTGAATTGTTACGGTTTAGAGCTCTACGAATTTGTATGTTACCACACATTTTTAAATGTTCGTTATTCAGACGAGATTTCCTATGAAATTTCCTACGTTTGTATAGTTTTTATTGCGATATTATAACTCAATTTTCAATGTTCTTTTGGGACGTATAAATCCACACTCTAGTCATAATCTAGTGAAACTGATAATTAATGCGGTGTAGAGGAATATTTATCGACGGTATAACGTGTAAAACGTTATTTTGTAGGCACATGTCGGTGAGGGTTCTCGATTATTCATCAATGACTTTAATATACTTACTAGTTATTATGTTTATACGATCTATTTGAATTCGATCGTAAAATATTATAAACAAAAATGAAATGAAACCCATATAACGAAGATATTCAACGACGTGTTTATTCATCGTGTACGATATAATAATCATACAACACTTTCCGCCTGTTTTTATTTTTTCGTTACACTGATACGGGCAAAGCAAAACGGGAACAAAGGTAAAAATAATAAAAAATCGACATGGGCAACGTCGGGCGCGGGACAGCTAGTTACATTTAATATATGGCGCGCTTATTCGTCAACAACCGTGGTTTTTTATTTTTTTTTTATCATTTCCCTTTTCGTTGTCCGTCGCCGTCGTCTCCTCGCCGTGATAATATAACAGACGTGTCTCCCCCGTCTCCCCGTACAATTCGTATACAATATAAGTATTTATTATACTATGCGTGTGCGTGTGTTTGTGTGTGTGTGTCGTGTGTGTGTGTATTATACGTTCGGTATCGTCGCGTTAAAAATAACAATACGCGTCCCCAGACGACGGCTACGGTATATAGTGACATTGTGTTTGGGAAACGAAAACGCGTGACAGTGGATACAAAAAAACCGCAGGCTTCTAAAAAATCTTTGGACGACGTTCAACGGCGTGAATATAAAACGGCCAATTATGCATTGTGGTTTTATTTTACGACGGCGCGTCTATGAAGCAACGCGTTCGGCGGCTTACGCGAACCTATAGACACAATACGACGTGCCGCTTATTAGAATAGACGTCCCTAAATCTGTTTATTTATCGGTCATACGCGATAATATTTCTGTAGCGTACTCCGAAACGTCTCGTCCGTAGTAGGAGCGCACTTCAACACATTTTAAAGTACGGGTGACACCGTACGTGGTGTAAAGAATATGAAGAATATCGTTACCTGCTGTAATAGCGGTCGATACGGACAATACGCCGGGGGCCGCGAGAGGGATTAATTTGTCCACGGGGGCCCTTGATTTCTCTCCGCGACTCCGGTAATGCGTCTGGTTGATGGAAATCGATCGACACTGAACAGTGACGGATCCCACTGTTTTTTGCGAATAGAAGGTCGGCAGATTTGAATTCAGAGTGAATACCCAGTCGATATACGTTTTTTTTTTTTTTTTTATCGTAATTATTTGTTTTTTTCTTTTCCTATAAATCATTACCTGTCGCGTAATCGATAATTATGATAATGTGACGATAATTGTTAATTACAAAAATTATCTTA